TGAGAAAATAAATATACATGTGTCATGATCAAAAAAGCCATTAGAAAATTTTGTTAATCACTGATATTTAGTAGCTTAAATTTTGACGCCTAGGCATTCTTTTTATGATGTATATAGGCTCTTGTCATTCTAGCAGTAGGTGAACTGAGAACTCATTTGCACCATTTTAATGTAACTGATAATCGTGAGCATTCGTGAACATAGTTCTGGTAACTTCCACACTACTGTCACTTAACTGAAAATTTAAGTGGGGCTGTGCCCTGTAAAATTTTTAACTTCCTTCCTTTAAACTTTTTAAATTCGTACAATATTATAATTACAAACGAATTCAATGACCATTTTAATGTAACAACACGTTTTTGTCGGAATTAAAATAAAATTTAGCATTAATTAGCATTTCGCCGGCCGAGAGCTTATCAAGAGGACGGGAAAGTTCGGCACACGGTGAACTTTCACGAAGATTCCCCAAATTAAATTCCCCACGGGGTATTTTAATAATGACCATCTTTCCTTTAATTAAATTTAGTTACAGGTTAAATAATGAGCAGTGTACTTTGTTATAATGAGATATTTTCGGCAGAGTTCCAGAACTCTGCGATGTCGAACCAGGCTCCAAAATCACTCGGTGTTCATGATGTGAAAATGATTCTTAGTAGCGTTACTGATGAAGGCGATGTCTAAAAATTACTATAACGAAACTAATTCTGATTATTTATTTTTGTATGTTTATACACACGATGTGCAACAAAAATGATTGTTTATTGAGAAAGCTCTCTTAAAATCAGAAAATAGTATATTTATTTATAATAAACGTGTTTTTAAATTTATGTAAAAAAAACCTTTTTGTGTTTGTGTTTGGAACGTTCGTCCCTATTTTAAGATTTGTTTAAATGTTCTATAGTTTACCATAAAATTAAAAATAACTAGAATATTCGACCGATCGGACACGCACCTAAAACCGAGTGTACATAAAAAAAGGGGAAAAGTACGATATGATGTTTACGTAATGAATTTTCTCTGCCTGTCTTTTTGTTCGTATGTCCGTTCAGTCATCGTATAATCTAGAAATATCTCTCAACAGTTACACTGTATTATTTTTACTAGTGGTCCCCCGGTAGTCGAAATTCGATTGTAATTAATTGAAATTACAAGTTTGTACTTGTACTGTATTTGTATGGTGTTTGTGCCAAGACTACACTACAAATATTAATAAAGACAAACAATATTTAATCTATTCTCAATTTGACCACGGACTATAAGCAATAAGAAAAGTTTGACAATAAACAAATAGTATGCATGCGTGTGTGTGTCAAATACATGGTAGTGTGTGTGTAATGTTTTTATTTATTGATTTAACGTATTATTTATGTATAATTTAAAAAAATATTAACATTAGCATTCCTTCTCTATATACTCTATAAGTGTGGGAAATTTCAGACTCCTCCGTCCGCGCAATTCTTTAAAAGGGGTACAAAGTTTTTCCTTTACGTATTAAAATATAGATGAACACCTTGCAATTAATTAATTTCAATACCGTTAACGGAATTCAGATAAAAACTCAAATCGAACGGACGAATTCATAGGACACACCTAGTCTGTAATAAAGCAATTTAAAGACGTCATTACGATTTGTCTCGTCGCGCGAGTTTGATGGATGCGAATGATCTTATTTCAGATAAAGTTAATTCAACGTATTTTCTGGCGTTGGTTTATTTTACTGGTAAATGACGTACATAAGATTCGTAGAAATCTATATATTAATACGTGAAGCAAAAACTTTGTTTTGTATCCCTTTTTACGAAATTTGCGCGGACGGAGGAGTATGAAATTTTCCACACTTATAGAGAATATAGAGAAGAAGTGCACAATGCTAAATTTTTTTTTAAATAATGCATAAAAGATACATTAAATCAATAAAGAAAACATTACACATACTACGTACCATGTATTTGATGCACACACGCATGTATACTATTTATTGTCAAACTTTTGTTCTTGACGTCTGTTGTCAAATTGAGATTAAATATTGTTTGTCTTTGTTAATATTTTCTATAGTGTAGTCTTGGCAAAATTTGTGATTATAGAAGTATAAAATACAATCATAATAGTGTACAAACTTACAATTCCAATTAATATAGTTGAATTTCGACTACTGCGGGACCACTAGTATACAGTTAATACAGAACACTCAATATGTTACATAAACCGAGCCGTCGCGTCGCTTACGTCACTGTGTCAATATTTATTATTGTCAACTGACGGTAGCACGAAGCTGACATGTCTATGTCCTCCGGCAACCACACAATACAGAGTAATATTAGTTTAGATGTGAGACGAAATCACGACCTTTCTAGCTTTGTGTGTTTATCGGAGTCAATAGACGTTAACACTGCCACCATAACTTGAGAAATCTAGATTGAATTTATCTATTACTAGCTGACCCGGCAGACTTCGTAGTGCCTCAATCGATAAATAAAATACCTAAGCTTTTGAATAAAATAAACTTAAAACAAACCAAAGAAATCCGTCCGACGGGGGACACATCATAGGAAAAACATTTTTTTTTAATTCCAAGCATTTTCATATATATCTAACTTTTAAACCTCTGGACTTCCACAAATAATTCAAGACCAAAGTTAGCTAAATCGGTCCAGCCGTTCTCGTGTTTTAGCGAGACTAACGAACAGCAATTCATTTTTATATATATAGATAGATTTTAATCACATAATTAAACTTATAAATTTTAATGATTTTGTTTTGTATAACAAATTTCTTCAAAGCATTCTAGATATAGACCCGGAGGGAGAAATTTCATATTATTCACAAAGTGCTTCCATCTCATTTTTAGCCGACTTCAAAAAAGGAGGAGGTTCTCCATTCGACTATATGCTTTTTTTGTTTGTTACCTCATAACTTTTGACTAGGTGAATCGATTTTGATAATTCGTTTTTTTATTAGAAAATTGACGCTTCCCGTGTGGCCCCATTTAGTCCAGTTCTGATAATGGTATCCATGTGAAAACTATATAAGTCTTAAATTTGCACTATGTACCTACGTGCGCGAGAAATAGATGAATAACTCAATAACTCAATATCACGCCAACCGATTTCTATGATTATTGTTTTTAGTGTATATTAATTTATTTTGGAATATTATTTTTTTGTTTTCTATTTGAAGTCGGTTTTTGTTAAATCATGTCTATTTACAGTTTTTCATTTTTCAATTTACTGTAAATTTTAATCTGATCGTCGATTTTATTCTCGTTCGATTCGGACGTTTCCCGGTGACTGTATTTCTCGATGCATCGAAGAAGCGCCGTCTAGCACTTAAATAATGCATAACATACAAAGTATTGAAGATGCAAATGTTTCGGAGTACGTACGAAGTGAAATTATGGAGCTTTTGCTGTTACAAAACTTTTCGATGAAATAGGAAGTGTCTCTGGTTAGTTCTTTTTAAACGATCAATGTTGTTATATATTTTGTGTACACTATTTACTATTAAATATATGTTTTTAAATGTGTAATACTGTATGTGATTACACTGGTGGTAGGATGTCTTGTGAGTCTACACGGGTGTGTACCACTGCCCTTATTTCTGTCGTGATGCAGTAATGTGTTTCGGTTTGAAGGGCGGGGCAGCCGTTGTAACTATACTGAGACCTTACAACTTATATCTCAAGGTGGGTGGCGCATTTACGTTGTAGATGTCTATGGACTCCAGTAACCATTTAACATCAAGTGGGCTGTGAGCTCGACCACCGATCTAAGCAATAAAAAAATATATCTACAAGTAAGTTTATAGTTATTGAGAAAATTTCCTGATTATTATTATTGAATATCAATTAAACGACTAGGTTTTTGAAAATTTTGAATCTCCCAATCTACATTTCATTTCTGCATTAATTTTGTCAATCATACGATTGTCTGTCAATTACAAAGTCAATTTATTCTCGAAATTTCGATAATTAATCAAAAAAGAAAAACGCAATACATAAAATGAAACATAATAATAATAAAGTTAGTGATTATGATCAAAGTTCGACCAGTGGACGTGCACTAGTTTTTTTAAATTAGTTGCTGTACAGTTGACAGAACCATAAAGTTAAAATGAGACGATTTGATTAAACATGACAACAGAAATGATATAATCAGAAACTAAAACAACGTTAAAAAACAAAGCAACAAAGAAGAACAGTTGATATAATGTACTTAGTTATAATCAAATATTACTTAATTGGGAAACATTTCTTGTCTCATTTTCCTATACGTTCTATAGTGATCTAACTAAAAACTTTGTATCCTTTTTTACGAAAATTGCGCAGACGGAGGAGTATGAAATTTCCCACACTTATAGAGAATATAGAGAAGGAGTGCAGAATCTTAATATTTTTTTTAATTATGCATAAAANTATAATGTATTTAGTTATAATCAAATATTACTTAATTGGGAAACATTTCTTGTCTCATTTTCCTATACGTTCTATAGTGATCTAACTAAAAACTTTGTATCCTTTTTTACGAAAATTGCGCAGACGGAGGAGTATGAAATTTCCCACACTTATAGAGAATATAGAGAAGGAGTGCAGAATCTTAATATTTTTTTTAATTATGCATAAAATATACATTAAACTAATTAAAAAAACATTACACACGCTACCATGTATTTGACACACACACACACGCATGCATACTATTTGTTTATTGTCAAACTTTCCTTATTGTTTATAGTCTGTGGTCAAATTGACAATAGATTAAATATTTGTCTAAAGTGTAGTTTTGACGGAATTTGTGATTAAAGAAGTATAATAAATAGTCTTTGAAAATAGAATCACAATAGTGTATAAACTTATAATTTCACTTAATTATAGTCGAATTTCGACTACTGGGGGACCACTAGTAATATTAATCAGTCGATTGAAGTTTGAGCATAAGAAAGTGCCTTGTACTTAAAAATCGTTAATATGCGTCAAACATATTCGTATATAAATCTACGCTTACCATGCATCTTATCGTTCAGCAGAGCGTATCTTGGATTCGAAGCGACGTCCAGTGGCAAGGAGTTCCGAAGCCATCTTATTTTGGGCGTTGGGTTCCCGGTAGCTTGGCAGGGCAGGGTAGCCGTGTGGCCAATCTCGACGACCATCATGGTGGAGGGCGGCGAAATGCTCGGGAAACCGGGCGGGACTTTATCAACTGCGAATGAAAAAAAATCAAGAATGAGTGGTGTTTTTTTACAAACGAACATAAAGTTTTATATGCAATACATACACATACATTATTGATTCAAATAAAACAATTTTTGGTTACGTGGTGTCGTAAAAGGCTACTGATTAATTCACAGCGCAACAGCCGAGTTCTCCGAGTATTATATATCTAAAAGAGAGACCTTAAAAAAATTGGCAAACTATAAAACCGAAATGGCTTTTCGACCAGTTAAAAAAATATTTAAACGTGGACACTAGATAGGTCACTGACCTGGGCATCGCATATTCACCAAATAATTAACAAAATATTCGGTATTTATGGGAAAGTATGAGAGTTAAAACCCAGATTCCTGGAAAACGTGTAAGGAAAATCGACTGGCTTGCATGGTTATAATGACACACCTTTAGAACCACTCCAGCGCCACGCCCTTAAGACCACGCTTAAAGCGCCATTACAAACAGCAGTTCAGGTGGAATCTAGGAAAGCAATCTATGCGATACAAATAGATAGCATATAAAATGCATGCGTGCCTAAACACAAGATAAGTTAGGCACACCGTTAGATTGGCCGTATGCTCCTCTGCCTAGACGGGCAATAAATATAAAAAAAAGATAAGAGATGAATAATAAAACGGTCCACAGTAAAATTCAGCTTTTATGCAACATTCCCGGAATCCAGTACATTTGAAGATAACTAACTATGGATTCATAAATTCATCTCATTAACGAATGAGAACTAAAATAAACTATATTTTTATTTCACAACATGTTCCACAGACACGTATTTGATTATCCGACCACAAAATTTTAATATCGAGAAGATTTCAAGACACCTACAAGGTTGCAATCAATTACACCGCACTTGGGGGAAGCAATTCCGAAATCCTTCAACCTAATTCAGTTGAATTTTAAACGGCAATACCCGAGAGCGGTAGTCTTAACAACCAAAGTGAAAATTTTCAAATAGTGAGTTGTTAATTCGCGAAATGAAATTTTGCTCATTTCGCGGCCGAAGTGAACTTTGATTAAGTTACACCAATTACAAAGCTGAAATTTATTTCGTTTGAATTAGATTCGGGCCTTTTATTTGGAAACCGGAGAATTACAAAACATTTTACGTACATACATAGAGTAAACTTTTTATGCCTTAAGAATGTTTTGATTTATTAGTTTTTAGGTCCCGCGCATTATTAAAATTATTATGAATGAATGCATCTGATGTCTATCATACAAAGGCATTCTGCTAGCGTGTATCTATTCGGCATGAATTTAAATGACTTAGTGAAATGAAATATGAACAGATTGGTTTGACCTTAATGACTAGAGAATGCTTCAGTGTTTTTAGTTACATTGCAATAAAATACGCTAACAATTTAGAAAAAGTAACTATAGCGGGAAAGGTATAGAAATAAATATACCAAAGGACGGAGGCCTAAGAGATTGACAACTAGAACAACTTGATACGACAATTATTGTCGTGCTTCACTGCAGTGCTGACCGTCTAAAATGGCGATAATTCATCGAAAAAATACTAAGTTGGATTTATCACAATACTTTGCAGTAAGCAAGCGGCTTGAGGAGGAGGATAAGAAGATCAATAAAGTCGTTCCTTGCACTCCTGTATCCCGGAGTCAGTCAAAAAATTAGAAGGGCAGAATGGACTATTCTATGTTTGTATCCGCTACTCACAAAACCCAAGAAAAAATCCTAGGACTGTCGATTCCTATCGATAGAAAACCTCTAATACAATTCAATATCCCATTGTAAGCTACTTCTTCTTTTAATTCTTCTTTTCTTCTTCTTCTTTTTTTATTTTGATTTTTTTTTTAAGTGAATTTAGTTTAAGTTCGTTCCGGTTCCCTCGAGAATGTGCTGATTAACTTATTCGGTAAATTTTATTCGCGATACGTTAAAAAGTCACAAAAAATTCAATTAATTTTCCTTGGCACCAGTGAACCGAAATTCGATTAAACAAAATTCATTGTACATTCTCAAAACTACTGTACAATTACAAACAACACGTTAACTCGAAAGTCCGTAATGCTATTATACATTTGAACCGGTACAAGCTGAGTTCATGTAGAGCGAATCCCGGGTGGTTTTCGGTTTGGCCCGGCATTAATAATAATTACCGGCCGATGTTGGACCGGAAGTTACGACCGATGTAGACATGGTCTGAAACTGAAATCCCTTATTCCTAGCGCCCTATATTTTGATTAAATTGGGCTCATATATTTCGGCTTGCATTACTCGTGTTGATACGATTAAGATCTCAGATTTCCGGTCAAGAGATTAGCATCCCTGAATATGTTTCAGAAGCAATTATCTCCAACTTTAGAACTACGAAACAAACTATAATTGAAAGACTAACAGTCATCCGTGAAAACGAAAACTATAAAGTAGTCCAAACGTCAGAAATAGTAAAATAAAAATAAGAAATGAGAGATTAAATCGTAAAAGTATTTTTAATAATTTAATTCTACACAGGTTACTAGACACGAATACAACACGTCAGTCCAGAATATAATTTGTAATAAGTATAATAATATAAAGTATTTTTCTATTTATTGATTGTATAGATGGGTGGAGGAGCTTACGACCTACCTGGTGGTAAGTAGTTAACGGAGCCTATAAACATCTACAACGTAAATGCCGCCACCCACCTTAAGATATAAGTTCTAAGGTCTCAGTATAGTTACAACGGCTGCCCCACCCTTCAAACCGAAACGCATTACTGCTTCACGGTGGTGGTACCTACGGACTCACAAGAGCTCCTGCCACCACTAATTACGCAAATTATAATTTGTCGGGTTTGATTTTTATTACACGACGTTATTCCTTCACCGTGGAAGTCAATCGTGAACATTTGTCAAGTACGTTTTTCATTGGAAAAATTGGTGTCTGTCGGCGGGATTCGAACATCGATGCATTGCTACATACGAATGTATCGGGCGCCTTATCCTTTAGGCCACCACGACTTCAAAATGTATACATAGATTATGATGATATTAGAGAATGACGAGTAATGAGCGGGAATTGATATGAAATTTAGGAAGGGACAAGAAGAACAAATAAAAGACCAGAACGGAAAGGATTGGATGAGCCCATAGTGTACTTACGATACAAATATTACAATTTTCCCAATAATTAATACTAATATTATAAATGCGGAAGTGAATTTGTTTATTGCCCTACATGTTCCAACTACCTACCCGATCACCACGAAGTTTTCCATATACGTTGTCAGAGTTGCAGAAAAAGACAAAGTATCTTTCATAAAGAGAAAAAAACCCGAGTGATAGACTTTTTTATATACTAACGCCAGCGCAGCCCGTGTAAAATTAGTATATTATAAATTTATCTATAGTATCAGTAATGATCGAATACTAATCAGTATTCTTAATTTTATCGAATAATTATTTTCAGACGAATTTCGAAAATGGGACGTACAGACGATTTTATGGTTGACCTAATGCGATTCCCAAGCTTGTTCGAACCATAACGTAAATGAATATCTTCGCCCTAGTTGTTACATGAAATGAAGCCCTCAGTTACTGTAAAAAGAAAATTTATCTTTAACCTTTAAATTCAAAGGCTTACTTTGTGAGTTATACAAGACGACGACACAAACTAGTTTTTGACGTGACAACGTCTTATAATTCGTTGGGGCCGGCTGCACGCACGAAAGAACATGACTCATGCTGCGTTACCTCGCTCTGAGGCGTTCCATTTAAAGCTTGAAGTGCAAGCGAGAGCGCACAACGAGCGACAAAGTGGCACAATCGGCCTCCGCGTTCGGTAGCATTCGACATCCGTCTCTCTCCTACTTGAGTGAGCGATGCATCCGCGTGGACAGCTGCTATACAATAATACATTTACATGTTTTCGTCAAGTATAAGGTTCAATGAAAAGTGAATGTGGTGTCAATTGTATATAGCAAAGATAATTGCGATAATTGAAAAATGAAACCATTCCATCAGTATTTTCTTATGACGTTGTCACGTTCAACTATCTTCAGTAAACCGACTTTACAGACAATCAATTTTTTTTTATCTTTATTCTTAAGGTTTATTTTTACTATGTCTCCCCGTAATTATATTTACAGTATTTGTCTGTTCAATTAATAGAAGAACAACTGTAATCTCATAATAAGGTTAGAAGATATTATTTCCAATATTATTTCAGTGCCCTGCAAGATATGTTGAGCACATTCGTCGAGAATCTTCTGGAAAAGGTTATAACGCCAGTGCTGTATTACAATTGCTAATTCTTTTATGAGTACCTACCAATAGTTTTTAATGAATGACAACGCAATGTAAATTTATAATTAATACAAACAGACACATTACCAACGTTACAGTGATGTGATCAACGCATTCGAACAATGCATGTAATTAGTGAATGGTAGGTAGTTCGATGTTATGTTTGGGTGAGCGAAGAGAGAATGACATAACTTCACACGTCATTAGCTAGTGCCACACATCTGCATATTATTAAAACGTGAAGCAAAAACTTTGTACCCCATTTTACGCAAATTGCGCGGACGGAGCAGTATGAAATTTTCCACATTTATAGTGAATATAGAGAAGGAGTGCAGNATGTAATTAGTGAATGGTAGGTAGTTCGATGTTATGTTTGGGTGAGCGAAGAGAGAATGACATAACTTCACACGTCATTAGCTAGTGCCACACATCTGCATATTATTAAAACGTGAAGCAAAAACTTTGTACCCCATTTTACGCAAATTGCGCGGACGGAGCAGTATGAAATTTTCCACATTTATAGTGAATATAGAGAAGGAGTGCAGGATGCTAATATTTTTAAAAAATTATGCATTAATAATAGATTAATTCAATAAAAAAACATTACACACACTATCTTGTATTTGACACAAACACATATATAAATACCCTTTATTTACTGTCAAACTTTTGTCATTGCATTAAAGTCTGTGGTCAAAATGATAATAGATTGATATTGTTTATCTTT